CCTTTGCAAGGCCCAGTAATCAGCGGTCGTGCTGCCGAGTTGGGCGAACGTTCCAAAAGCTGCTACTCAATCGCTTGTTTTGTATGGGAAAAGGTTTCACATGCAAATGGATTTTAACAATTCAGAATTTTTGTGAGAAGAAATTAAAAATATTTGACATTTTCGAGACCAAATAATTTGAAAATAAATCAAATCAGCTGCTCTACTGATACTACCTGTTCAATGTACCTTGGTACATACATATGTATTTTAAAAAGTAAAAAGTGCCAAAATGTTCTAAGCAAAGATAAAGTAAAAAAAAACCGCACTTTGCTAAGCAAAGGGCCGCATTTGGCTCAATGAGCCGCGTTTGCCCACCGTTGGTATATACATATATACAAATATATAGATATGTATAATGGTCGGATATTTATATAGATATATACGCAAATAAATTGAGAAATTGTTCACCTTTTTATTAATAAAATAGCAAATTTATATGTTAAGATTATGTTGAGTGTTTGGTGGGTTTGGAAGGGAATCGCCCATTATGAACTGCAACAACCTAGCGAAACAATCAAACGGTCATCTGCTACGCCCACCTTTTGAACGAAACAATCAAGCAAGAGTGACCAGAATTAGTCAACAGAAAAGGAGTATTGTTCCATCCGAACAAATTTACGGAACTTGGTTGGGATGTTTAAATGCATTCACTGTATAGCCCGGGCCTTGCACTGTCTGATTTCCATTTGTTTTGGTCTCTGGAAATACTCTCTTGACGGTAGAAAAAAATTGGTCAACCGAAGCCACTGAAAATCAATTGATCAAGGTTCCGCGGTAAACCCGAAAAATAGCTTCATTAAAATTCAATTTCAATAAAGAATTTGTTTTTTTAATTTACCCAAAAATCCGCGGACACTTTTCATATGACCCATTACGTAACCTTCGTTTAAGTCATACCATGTAAGCAGCATGCAATATTTATGCCTGTTTTAATGTTTTCGCATGACGTTATCATTGAAAGTTTGTCTTTAGCGTAGTCTACACTATTACAATAATTACAAAGTGATTCATTTTATAATCCTTATTACGCGATTGGTTAAAGATACTAAATGTAAGCAAAAGAAAATTAAAATTTGTTGATAATTATTTCTAAATTATCTCTGTCGGCAAAACAAGTATGAATAATTATGTATTTTAGAGGGCCGCCAAAACTGAGTATCTCAACTATTTTTATGAGCAATATGATTGGAATAGGCATCAGTAGTAAATTTTTGGGTGAGTATGCGCGCAATGATTCGGCTTATTCTTTTTGATATAAAGCATAAAAATACAAAGTTTCAGAACAATCCGAAAGCGTTTAGAGGTGGCGACTTTAGCAGGAAATCCTATAGATAATATCTTTGCGGAAATATTTAATTTTACATCCAAAGTGAACTCAGTATTACCTTTTAACTTTTAAAATGTCGGCAAACATGTCGGTTTTTAATTTAGTACAAGAGTCATTCCCCACTACAAGAGGGCGAAAAGCCATTTTTCCCACCGAGAGTACTCTTAGTATAGATTGACCCAGGGGAAAATTACTAAGAATGCGTTTGATTTCAGTAAATACTAGTGCCTGCGGTACTTCGAACAAAATATGAATTCGACTCTCGCCGAAGTCTAGTAAGAACTCCAATATCCATTTAGATAAAATTTTTCGTTATCGGTGGGACTATCTATGCATTATTCAATAAAAGAATATGAAAATTCCATCTGATGCAAAAAATGCATTTCTTTAACTATACAAATTTTAACAGGATTTATGGCATGACGAAGTAATCGCATAAATATATGTACATACATACATACGTTGCTGTGACTCATTTCATATTGAACCAGACAACATTAATTACAAAAGCGATAAGAGATGAGTAGTGTCGTTAATTTTCTTACAGAAAAGCTGTAAACAAAATTATGCATAAATAAAAATAAGATTGTGCATGTAGCGTTACTGGGGGTGTGCAACAAGGCAAACAGCAATTAGACAAATTAATTTTATTTCTCAATTGAGTGCCTTTTCTGGCTATTTCGGTATTTTTTTTTTGGCTTTTTATCCGTTTTAAGGTGCTAAAAAGCGGTTCTCAGGTAATGAGATGTTTGTCAAGAAGAAATGCATTTTACATATTAAGCCGTCTGGATAAAAAAATAAAAGAAAGCTGCCATTGTGCACACGTGTGTTTATTTTATCCATTAATTATCTTTTATTGAAGTATTCGAATTGCTTAATGCATGGTGATGACGTTTCGTGTATATCAGTACATTTTATTGCTGTTTCCGGCACCGTTCTAGACTAATTGCTGTATGTCAATAATAATGCGCCGGCCGAATGACGTACTTGAATAAGAATTTTCTCATTGAAATGATAATAAGAATCTTGTAACTTCTATCTACCTCACCTCCTAAAGCTATTCATTGAGGAAATCTTTAAGTTTTTATAAGCAAAAAATTTTTCACGGTGTATCGTGCGAACTTAAACCTTTTTGCTTGTTTTAAACCGATTTATTGTATGTCAAAATATACGATTCCTAAATGGTTTTCTTTTAAAATTTTTTGGAACTTTTGCTGAACAAGTGCGCCAGGTGCTTAGGGTTTGAGTCTCAGCATAATGATATACTATACATACATATGATGTACAGACCGCGACAAAACGATAGCACCTCAACATTGTCTATGAATTTTAAATAAAAGTATAGCTCTTTATCTAACAAAAACCTTCTAAATCCAAATTTCACACTGTGTAAAAAAATTATAAAAATTCCGCAAACTTTTCATCCCAATTCCAAGCATTTTAATTTCTAGAATAATTTTTGGTATGCAGTTTTATAGCCTATTCAATTCCAGTATAATGCAGTTCAAGTTTGAAATTGCTAAAAATCGCACTGATTTTTGATAAGTTCATGCTGACGGTATCACGCGTTTCTTCCATACAAAGTAATTTTTTATATGGAAAAAAGTGCATAATACCCTCAGAAAAAAATGTATAAAAACTCAACACGATTTTTTAGCTACTTCAAGCTGTCACTTTATTATACCAGATTTTAATAAGCTATAAAGCTGCATACCAAAAATTAATTTAGAAATTCTAATTAAAATACTTGAAATTGGGATGAAAAGTTTGTGCAATTTTTTAAATTTTTGTACAAAGTTTAATATTTGGCCATTTATGGGTTTTAGATAAGGTTGTTAGATAAGGAGCTGAACCTTAATAAAAAAATAATGAACCTTAAAAAAACAAAAGAAAAGTAGTCAAAACTGGTAAAAATGTTGATGTGCTAGCTTTTGTCTTGAGCTGTATGTACATAGTAGCTCTGATCCAGTACTCCATGAACTTCCAGGATTTTGCAGGAAGTTGCAGGAAAAATGTTCCCGTACTCCAAAATCCTCCAAAATCCTGTAAATGAGAGCGACTTTTGGAGAGTTGTGTAGAGAATGAAGTTGCTAGATTTTACCCGAACTTTTTCTTCCGGTAAAATCATGAAAAGTGTCAAGCAATCACTGGTTGACGTTTTTACAGGAAAAATGGTTTTTTGTTCCCATACTTTTTGTTGTTACTCACTTTTTACTCTCACTTCAGAAAGTAATTTTGCTGTTTGACAGTTTTACAGGATCTTTCACGAAAAGTATTGGATCAGAGCTAGTATTTTAACTGAAGACCTTCACGTTTAAATTGTTTCACAGTGCTCTTAATCACATATAAAGTTGTTAGTATTTTCAACATGAACTGTTTTTTCAAACGAAGTTGTTTTTTTACATATATTTATTTGGTTATTTGGCAACATTAATTTTTCTTTTAAATGCAGCTAATTATAATATCCATCATACATACATACATACATGCATATGTACTATGTAAGAAAATATTTATTTGAAAAGAACAAATATCCAATGGAGTGAAGAAGAGAAAGTAGGTGCCCCCATACATGCGTCGTTATTTTTGGAGCAGAAGCAGGCATACTACATACTGATACATATGTATATATGTATGTATGTATGTATGTGCATATATGAACATAGAATGTATTTACATATGTACATATTTTACTTTAATTTTGCTATAATCTCATTTGATTTTCAATGATGATAGCAACAAAAAACAACGCATTGAAATTTTATTGAAAACGGGGCGGCAGCTGTTTTTTTTTTAATTTTTGTTTTCTTACTGATCGGCAGAAGGAAAACAAGTCTCAAACAATTTGTGAAGAAATATGCAATTTATACTAGGCAAACATGTTCGTATATGCTTAAGTACATATGGCCGTGTGCATGTGTGTATGTTCATCTTGTTGAACCCACCCATTTATCTGCCTTGCTTTGCCGTTACTTACATACATACTTCTTTGTTAGGGAATGACATAATGTTCTAAAACTTGCATAAAGCGAATCAGTTTCAATTTAAAATGGCTTTTATGCCTATGCATATGCAAAAGTACATATGCGTGTATGTAAATCACCTTCGCATATTTCAGCATGAATTAATTCAATAAAGTTATTCCTTTCCACAAATAACACGTAGTACATACGAGAATTAAAGCTCAAAATTCAAAAATAATTAAAGAGCTTGCGAAACTGAAATAACGAATAAGATGCGGGATTTTGTATTAACAACTGTGCCAGTTTTAATAAAGCAACTAGGCCATTTTCTTTTTAAGGCAATATTTCATTGGGTTCCCAAACAATATTTGAACAATTAACGAGCCATGGGTGTACCTAGTTTAGGATGCCATTTTGTTAGAAGCTTTACAAAAATATCAAATTTTTGAAGAGCAACTTATTCCTTTTAAATCTAAAGTCAAACATTCTTTAGTCACTTAGGTTGTTTTATCCGAATGTGTATGTACATATGTATGCCAACTAAACAAAGTATGTATAACGTAGTTCTGATTTTTCGTTTTCAAAATATCGCTTCCCGCTTTTCCAACCCACAAGTTTAAAGTATTTCACAAATTTGCACTAGAAAGTTAAAAAAATTTACCACTTACCAGGCATTTTTTTTATATATTTACTCTTGCTGTAATACTACAATTTAGTAGAAACAATAATTTAAATATTATTTTGCTTTATTTTTTCACTGTCTCTTCAAATCACTTGCGCATTCGACGAGATTCAAGCTAAAACTGAAGCTAACAATTGTTTGGGAGCTTCCTAGTGCTATTCCCCGATCGTCGTGTCCACCACATACTCATAAGAAAATTTCATTTGTTGTAGCCGCATAGAATGACTGTGTCAAGTGGCCATAACAAGATTTAGGTGCTGTTGTTGTAGAAAGAATATAGGTTTGCCGATTCTGAGGTCGTTGCCGATGAGCTCCGGCAAGTATTGATGTCAATGTTGTTGATGCTGTTGTTGTATAAACAGATATGTGTATGTATGTACATGTAGCTATATCTACAAATGTACCCGCAGCAAAATTTACTATACATTTTGGAACTGCTTCCGAACTACTGCAAAACGGATGCAAAGCGAAACAACTGACACTCGCGTTTTGCTAGTTGCTCAATTGACAGTAGCCTTCTGACGTCATTGATAGCGAATTCAAATAGCGCTGGAGGATGTTGTGATTTTCCAAAAAAAAAAATAAAAATTTGAAAATGAAAACAAAAAGTACCACAAAAGTCTTACCGCACTTCGCCCTACAGCCAGACTCTTCAACATCTCGCTCATTTGTACCCAATGAGCGCTTTGGAGCGCACCCACATACGAGCGTTGTCCCCGTGCCGATATGAAAATTGTGCTAGGTGATTTCAATGCCACGATAAGCAACGAAGGCATATTTAGACGCACCGTGTTTGCCCAGCAATACAAAGGAATCTTAATGTCGAACAATTGTAAACACAAGTATCTTTGCCAGGTGTGACGACACCTGATCTGTGACAGCACTCTTCAACAAACCGATATGGGACCATATCTTCCGCTCACAGCGTAGCGACGCCGAAGAAGTAGACGGATTTCACCGAGCCTGAAAGAACAACTGGTACGCCGAAGAATGCCATGCCGCTGCATAAAAAAAGATGCCGCCTACACGACCACGCTGTGATCGGGCGCAACGGAAAGCGAGGCATATGTACTTACTGTAATAGAAAGAAGGTGGCCCAAATACTTCCGAAAATTCTATCAAGACCAAGAGGATTTCCAGCTATAACAACAACGACGACCAAGTGACCGATATGCTAAGATTATCTACGCTTTTACAGAGAATGAACACAAACACATATCCATCCGCTGCGATGGAAAGATCGTTCGGAGAAGAACTTGGCTTCAACTAGCTTTTGCCAATTGGCGGAAGTTGGCACAAAAGAGGACCAATTGGCGTGCTTTTTGGAAAGAAAAAAGATAAAATACAAAGATATCCAAAAATTTTAGCTTAAACAAGGTAATTGTTCCATAACTGTCCAAAGAGAATCAATTTTAAACAGGTTCAAAAGTTCTTTCGCGGGGACAGTATTTCTTCGTAGGATATCGCCATGTAAATAAAGACATTTGCCCGCAGTGTGTGTTGGGTTAAACCGAAACCAGTACCCTCCTCTATTAAGCTAACTCGGTGTTTGCTCAGAACCAGCTCGAGTTGCTACTGGGTATATAGAAACATACATGCATATATATGTATATATGTACATATATGTATATATATGGTTGATTAAACCGGTGGTGCTTACTTATGTATATCAATGTTGTTGCCGGCGATGTGATTGCTGCTGGTGCAGTGTTGCCCCTTAATGAGTAATTCCTCAAAACGTGGGGAATTTCGGGTGCGCTTGAGTATTTTTTGAGGATTTTTATTTTGAGAAATTTTCTCTCGATATATTTGCAGATTACAAATGCAACCATGTTTTACAAAAGAGGGTTGTTAGAATCACTCTGCAAATTTTTGGACAAAAAGCTTTCCGAAGTTTTATAAAAAGCGAAATACACCACACAAGCGGCTTGTCAAACATTCTTCAAACCATAAATCATGCAAACGTGACTCGTTCTAGCAAAGAATTTTAGGTTTCTTCCTATTCACACTCTCTTGCGTCCTCATTCGGTGAAAATTCCGTTGCGAATGAGGCGATTTTATCACACAACGTAAGTGGTTTGATCAAACGTCAACATGGCGGCCAGAAAATCAAAAGAAAAGATTTTTGTTCACATTTCCCTCAAACGGCTTGTCAAACCTTCAAACACCCCCATACCCAACATACCTTTAATCAAAGGGATATTTCGCTTGGCTTGTCAAGCCGCTTGTGTGGTGTTTTCGCTTTTAAGCACATCTGCATTGTTGCTAAATATTTAAAATGTTATCGGATAATTTTTTTCATTCCATCGTTATATTTTCAACTTATTTTGAACTTGAAAAATCTCGATAACGAATGGAGAAAACACGCAAAATTATAGGAAAAGCGATTTAGAATTAAAAGATTCTTTAGGTTCATATTATAATTAAAAAATATATATATATGCATTACTAATATAGCCCTTTTCTAATACTTTAGCAGAACGTATATTTAGTAGTTTAAAAATGTGAGGACCAGATGAGCACTGATATAGTTGCAAACCAAGGCATACAAAATAATCGTGATACTTTGTTTGAGCCGCAAGAACAAATGTACCAATTGAATTGGAGAATGTAATTAATTTTTAAACTGAGTACCTCTAAATAGTATGCAGTACACAATACTCATATCTGTAATAAAAAAATTTTGAGTAAATTGTTCGGATTTTGATGATTTTTCATTTGTTTTTGAGGAGTTTTATAATTGTTTTGTGGCAACACTGTGTTGGTGTTCTAATGTTGCCGGCGTTGGTGTTGGTGCTGGCACAGCCGATGATGTTGATGTGGCGTCTGTTTGTAACAAGTACGAAAGCATAATAAAATATATGTACCTATAAAGGTAGTTAACTAAATATGTAAGTCGCTTGTGAAAATTATAGCTGATGTCACCGCATGTACAGACTAAATACATACATATGTACATATTTACATACATATGGGTGTAGGACGCAGTGTTTCAGGGGGGCAGGGGTGTATGTGTGTAGTTACTTCGTCTCTGTCTAATTGTATGTGTCATTTTCCAATTCGCTTTCCCAAAGTCATAAAACGCTTATGGTATTTGATCTGGTAACTTTGAAAAATTAAAGTACAGTTGTGCAAAAGAGAGAGTGAGAGAGAGAAGAGTGGCTTTAAATTCAGCTATATAGTGACGAATTACTATTTTTAATGACGACGTAGCGTAATGAGAATAAGGAAACATACATACATACATACGACTGCGGCACCTCTGAATCATTGTTTTACGTGCTTTGAGACCCACTGTGCTAGTTAATCCACGGTGTGGTGCAGAAAAAGAATAAAAAACAAGTAGTGACAGTGCTGTCTTCGGCTATGCCATGTGTTTAATGGATGAAAAAAATTTTGTATGAAATTTAACGTGTTAATAAATGTTTCGCGAGTGGGTTGGCTGAAAAAGTCCTGACCAGGATATTTTTAATTAAATATTAAAAAATTTTAATTAATTTTTAATTTTGTACTGATTTGTTGAATGAACAAATTATATAACTATCGAAAGTATTAGGTCTATATAATGTAAAAACGTTGGGTTGTAAATTTTTTTTCCTGGCCTACCTATCAGGTTGGCAGGTATGAACAGGAGCCCATTTCATAAAAGTGACAAGTGCGACAATTGTCGATTTTTCTATAAAATTTCACTGCCAGAATTGTCGGCGACATATTTCCTGTTTCATATATGTTTGTAGGCAACTGTGAACATTTTTGGAAAACGACAGTGATAATATGGAATATTGTCGACAATTGTGCTGACAATTGTCACTCTGACAAAATTGTCGCGACAATGGCGACAAAACCAAATAGCTCCGTCGGAAAGCTTTCACAGGAGAGTTTAGTAAATTTATTTATATGGTAACTGCGCGCATTTCATTACTTTTCAATGATTTGAATAGTTCTTAAAACTAAAATAATGCTACTGCAATATTACATATGATTTACATATAACTTCATATGAGTGGCGAAAATTGTGTCAACGACAATTTTAAACTCCGACAATGACAATTTGTCACTTTTTCAATGGTTTTTCTCACGGAATTTAAAAGGTGGTGACAATTGTTTTTATGAAAGAAAACACCACCAAACTGTCGAACTGTCACTGACAACATGGAAATTGCCTGTCGTAACAGAATTAACACTGTCGCTCTATGAAATAGGCCCTAGGGAGGTAATACTAGTAGTTGTTCATTAAACAAATGAGTGCAAATTATAAAAAAAAAAACAAGTAATGAAGTCTAAGTTCGGGCGGGCCGAACATTAAATACCCGGCGCAATTATTAAATATAGTTTTCTCACCTTTCAGAAAACTACAGCTACATGGTAACCAGGGTGTTTTCACGTTCGAAACGTTCAGTTGGACATAATGCCTGAAGTTTCAAGCATTTCTGAAATTTACCGTTATATGAAAAGTGGGCCTAATTTTAGTCCGATTTCAATAATTTTTAATGTTTTGCTTTTATGAGCCAAGTCAAATAATGGTACCAAGTTTGATACAAATTGATCGAACGGCTACCGAAATACACATACCTGCCCATAAGTGTGTCCCACGCCCATTTTCCAAAATTTTATCATAAACGTATGTTTTGCTAAAGATTTATTGCAAACATCGCGTTTGAATAAAGTAGCTTCAGCAGTTACCAATTCATCGAAGATTTCGTATTTCGCTAAATTACCGTTATATGGGATGTGGTCGTGGTTATGCTGGCCTGCTGGAGCGCCCTACGACTGACCAATATGATCAGCAAGAAAATTTTGGATCCAACAAGGTCGGATTTCCTGAAAGGGACTGCTGTGAAGTGATAATAACTATGATTGACGAAAGGTCCCCAGCATGGTAGACCGACGGATCAAAGATAGACGACGAGAGTACTGGGGCAGGCGTATTTGGGCAAAAATTCCACAAAGTCTGCCAATTTACATATACGCAATTATATTCCATTTATTATATTATATTGTCGGCTGCTGTGGTGTAGTGGTAAGCAGTGTGCGCTTCCACTCCGCAATGCCTGGGTTCAAGTCCTGGTCAAAGCAACATCGCGAAAAAATATAGAAAAAAGGTTTTTTCTTAACAGCGGTGGTCCCTCGGCAGACAATGGCAAACCTCCTAGTGTATTTCTGCCATGAAAAACCGCTTCTCATAAAAATACAATCGCCATTCGGAGTCGGCGTAAAACTGTAGGTCCCTCCACTTTGTGTGACAACATCAAGGCGCACGCCACAAATCGGAGGAGCCAAACACTAACATATGTGTAAGCGCCAATCTATTATTATTATTAAGACGAAAGTCTTCGCAATCGAAGTCTGTGTAGAAGGACAAGTGGGCCAATTTTAAATACAATACACCGCAGCAATAGATTACGAAACGCCGAAAAAGTTAGTAATTTTATGAGAGGAAAATTTATTTCATTTCGTTATGAATTTGTGTAGTAACAGTTTTCATTTAATAAAATTTTGCAACTTTGTTTCTGCAAAATTAATAAAATTGAAAATATTTTTAATTTTTTAGCGTTGTCACGTACTTAATAGGTCATCACAAAAATAATATGAACTTCCTAGCCTTTTGTGAGCTGGTGGAGGAAACCCCAGAGCATATTTTATGTGACTGCCCACGTATCATAAATGGCAGACTGATACACTTTGAACGATTGTCTTCTAAATCCAAAATTTTAAACATAGCGCCCTTCAAAGTGCCTAAATTCTTAAAGAGAAGGTTGGAGTGATTACAATTACAGCCCGTGTATCCCCGAAGTAATAATAATAATATGAACAGTGTCGGTCATATCTGTAGCACGCCATTTCAAAGTGATATTGTGGGCCACTTATGTTTATTTATTTTTATTATATTATTTATTATTTTCTCTAACGAAACCCATATAAACCCATATAAACTGAGAATGAACTAAATTTTAATTGAAATTTCTTAAAAATAAATAAATAAAAATAAGGGGCACACAATATCACTTGGAAATGGCGTGTTATAGATATGACCGATACTGTATGTGTAAAGAGACAAACATTTGTGCAAGTCTGTATAGTAAAATGAATTGTTATATGCAGTTAATTTGTTTTTATTGTATTAGCTGTGTTTTACTTTTTCTAAATGTTATGTTATCTAAACTTTTAATAAGCTTGACATTTAAAAAATATTAATAACTTAAATAAAATTTTGGTGGGTTTTGGTTGATTTTGGTAGGAAGTTTTGGTAGGAAAAAGATTTGTTTGTGGCAACACTGGTTGCGACTCAGTTTGTTTGTAAACATAAACACAACATCCTAACCCTGTAGGGAAACCGCGGACTAGTGAATCAAATTTCTAGTTCCGTACTAGGTCTTTATCGCCAAAGAGGAACTAGTCCGATAGGAACTAGATCCCCACCAGTCGAAAATCGGCGAAAAGTGGTACTTTTGAAAAACTAATTTTTTTCAGTTTTTTTCACTAGAAATCTATATCTAAAGTGACGAATTTAGAAATGGTTCGGAACTATAGAAAAAGGGATGCAGAACGAACTAGATCTTATTTGTCGAATTTAGAACCAGTTCGGAACTATCGAATAAGGGATGCAGCGGGGGGTTTGTTTACTTTACATAGATATGTGTTCGGCGGCTTTTTCGTTCAAATACGCTTCTATTCTGTGCTTCGCAGATGCTTTTTCATAGCTTGGTAATACAAAACTAAAATTTGTGTTAACATTTCAACATCTTGGGACAATCTGGAATTTAAGAAATAACAGCGAGCACCTCTGCAAACTAGCTACAGCTAAAGGTATGTAAACGTAAATTTCTTACAATCATCCAAACAAATTTAATTTCAAATTGAAAACACATTTCTTCCAAAATAACTTAAAATCGCACACACGGAAGAACCAAAAAGATGGAAAAATCATGATACTTTTTTCTTTCGTCTGTCGATTTTAGAACTGCTTCGGAACTATAGAATTTAGGACTAGTTCGGAACTATCGAAAAAGGGATGCAGCAGGGGGCAATTGACACTTCCTAGGACATCGCCATGTTAAATTCGCCGGTTGCTTGCATGCAAAAGAGATTTATCGAGAACCAGTACTGGGTCTAAATGTAATAGAAGCGCACCAGTTCAGAACTAGAGATTTTCCCCACAGGGAATGTGCGCGCACATCCACACACACACACACACTTTCCAACATACACACATATTTAATTTGTCGCATTAAATTTTTCGTTGAAACGATTTCATTCTGAACTTTACAAAAACTTTTTTAAAGTTACAAGAAACCAAACAAAAAAAAGCTACTGGCGAATATGTATACATGTTTTCAAATACTCAGTTTGAACAACTATTTTAAAATAATTTTTTTGAGATAACATGAAGACGATTTTGGTATACGAAAAATGAACAAAAATGGAAATCGTTTTCTGAACGTTTCCAAATACGAAAAATGTACGAAAACCCACTGTCGGCAAAAACTACGTTTCTCTGCTGGCTGGGATATGCATATAAAATACATTAATATCGATGGTCCTCTGCAATAACGACACAACACAAAATTTCATATTTTTCAGTAGAGCCAATTAAAGATTTTGTGTTTCGTAATTTAGCAATAATATTTCTTGGAACGTAATTGTTCCGGACTCTTTGCAGTCATTCTAATATACTGTATACTGTCGTATTGATGTATGACATAAACTTTAAATGGCTAAAACTATATTTAAGGAATTCGCAAGCTAACATAAAAGTTTTATTATGAAATTTCACACAACTAAAAAATAGTTGGTGGTGATTTCAAGTCCTCTAAACATTTATTTAGCCTTTAAAAACTTTACAACATACAACAATACGACAAGTACGAAATGTGAGACATGTGCCACTGGTCAGTAGTAATGGTTGGCTAATTCGGTTTTGTCACAAATGGAAAAACTGCTCCCCTGTCGGATTGGTAACAACTAAGCATATATCGATTTGCCACAGAAAAATATGGTTATTTATAAACCTTATCCGCTATATAACTCAAAAACTTAAAATTTTGTGTTGTGCCGTTATTGCAGGGGACCATCGATTTGTATAAACAGAAAATATCGTCACCTGAAATGCAAAAAGACGTAACAAACATCGTCAATGAAATCTAAAAAGTCGTAACTTATAAAAAATTCAAAATTCAGTTTTTGATTAATATGATGGATTTCATTAAATTACAACTCCCCACATCGTTTTATGGAAAGAAAAGTCACGACCTCTTCCATTTCAGTGACGATGTTGTTACGTTTTTTTTTTTTTTTGAATTTCAGGTGACGTTATGTGATTGAACGCATAAGTATTTCAATGTATATATTTTTTTTTGTTGTAATAGGGTTTGCTTTTTGTAATAGATACGTGAAAAACAAGTTTGGTTTTTTGTTTTTTCAATTTGGTTTTCTTTCAGATTTTGGTTGGTTATTTTTTTAACAAGTGGCAACCGTGTTTCTGAGTGTTACCAAGGGTTCATTCAGCCAACAACAAGCATTGCCATTATTCGCTGCAACATATCCATTCAATGCATTTGCTACAATCGTTTAGTTGTTATTCTGCTGCAGCTTCGGCTGCTCAACAGTTTACTCACCGAAATTTTTTCGAGCAGCTCTACATACTAAATTTTTATTTTTTTGAAATCAAGTGTGATGGTGAAATAAATGCATATATAATGGACCAATAAATCTGTGTTAATATAAGTTTAGTTTCTGTTATGTGAATTTTCGCAATATTTTTATAGCCGGCTGTACAACTGCCATAGCTACAGCAGAAGCCTGATATGCAACTTCCCTAAATATCTTTTTTTTCGCCAGCCATCAGTAAATGTCGCGTAAGTATTGCAATCACCTCACTCGCGTATTTACTTCAATGCAATTTCGCTAATTACTTAAGTGTTACGATTTCCGGTAGCTTAATTAATTTAACATATGTTTATGTATGTGTATGTACGAGTTGATTTTATGAGCGTTGGCGTCATGAGGTGCTTGGTATTAACTAGCAAAAAAATTAATGCAAACACTGGTAAATGGAGGGTTAGCTTTACGAAGTGAGCTTTTATTGTGCAAATAACACAGGGTGTTGCAAAAGCTTTGCATGAGGGTGTGGAAGGTTTGTTGCGTAGAGGTTTACGCCGACAGGCTTCGCGGTGGCGGCGGCGTCGTCAACAGTAGAGCCCAAAATACAACAACGCAGTGACAGTGGCAGCGTCAGTTTTTCGAAATCAGCTGTGTGTACTCTGTTGGCTAGAAGTTTGAATGAATTCATGCAGCCCTCGAATATGTATGTACATATATGAAATCAATCGCCTACTCATGGAGAAAAATTAGGGTTATTGGAAAGGTGACGACGCACCTCCCATTCAAATGATCTTTCAATTACATGTAGCTTGCTCCAAAGTTTGCGCAGCAAAAAGCTTTTTATTTGTACTAAAATAATATTACAAAGAATGCTGTATATTCTATAGTACTCAGTAATACCCAAACTCGCTTATAAATAAACAGATACATACATATCTTTATTTATATATTTGCATATTTTTATATAACCGTGGGGTAAAAACCGCGAATATAAGCTAGTATTCCATATTTGGTCACACTGTAAAATTTGTTTAAAACATTACGAATTCCTGAAGTGTCGTGTTCGCTCATTTTCGTTGTAAGCACATTCTTCTTTGCGTATTATTTGAATACAATGTATTCAATACATCATACTTATGTACATTCGTATGTATGTATGTGGTTATAGTATTAACCCAGTCGGAAAATGTAATGTATGGTAATCGAAAAAAATAATCAGTAAACCAGCCGTTTTCACATTCAAAATGTATTTCCGCATCCCCCTCCCATGGTGATGTCCTAAAAGTGAGGCATTCAATTTTGCACTACCAGCAATGCAATAACGTATGTGATTTAATATGATTTTTTTGGGACTTTTTGGATACATTAGAATGCTGATTATATATTAAAGAGTAATAGAATCTAGAACTCATAAGAAATACATTACATTATTTATCACGCACGTAATGCATTACTACTTTTCCCACTGGATATGCATGTACATTAGGAATGTTAATCCCGGGATCCCGTCCTTTTTTTGTACTTGCCAAGAAACCCGGCAAGAGATTCGAGATTCGTTATTTGCACTGATGGCAATAATAGAAACTCCTCTTCTTGACCAGTATTGGCTATATTTTTTTTTATTTACTAATATATTTTTTAAATGTCTAGCTCATTATATATATAACACAAATATCAATATATTCGCGAAACCATGAGCGAAATATAGTAAAATTGAGTTTTTAGTTTTTCGCTCTGACGGCAGTAATTCAAAAATGATTTAAAAAATTCAGAGAAATGTGCTTAGAGAAGAAGTATGGGCATCGAATTAAAGAGGAAATCCCGTGGAATTTAAACAGATTCAAGTTTTTGATGCAGAAGGACTGGTAAGTATTGAAAATGTCCTTTTAAAATTTTATCCTTCAAACTTCACAATATTTGTTTTTGAAAAAATTATATCGCACACCTTGATCTAACGATCAACTCAAACAAAATGAATGGCGAATTTTTTGCATAAATCATTTCATGGGACCTACATCCAATTAATGCGAATATTTTGTTCTTCATGATTATAAACATTAACTAAAAAATTACAGTTATACCTTTTTTGTATTAATTGCACTGAATGTGTACAACCACAAGCAGTTATATTTCCCTCCATGAATTTTTAGTTAGCTCACTTTAAACCTTGGTGTGCGATTTGTTAAGAACTTATATAAACACGACAACATCCTCAAATTTTGTCCTTCTAACTTTATCAGCTTAAAAAATTACCAATTCGTCCTTGTGAATCCAAAAAATTTTAATTTTTTAAATTCTATAGAAACTTCCTCTTGCATTTGGTACCCATATTTTTTATCTCTATTGCATTGAATTTTTTAAATAATTTTTGGAATCAGTCATATCTTTAAAATTACAAAGTCCTTTAAAATAAATCTCGAAGGCAGAGAGAAATAATAAAAACGACACTTTAAATAAAAAAATCCGGTTTCAAACCCATTGATTTATTATTTATTTTATGGTAGGAGAGCTTCTCAAACAATATAGAAGCAATTTTTTCGATTTAAGTTGTTGAAAAGTAAGGAATATCTAAATCCCGGGACTAATCCTGGGATCCCGGGATTATGATAACGATATCCCGAAACTCCGGGATCGGAAAAAGCTGAAAAATTAACATCCCTAGTGTACCTACATATGTACATATGTCCATATAAGCCATTTGAGTATTAGTGTATGGGAGGGACGAGCCCCCATCATTGTGGTGGCGTACATATGTATTTATTTACGTACTAATGTATGTACCTACAGTATGTATCTAGGCATGTACATATGTACATGTGTAGGAGTACATGAGCGAATGGTAAGCACACGCGTATTTATAAACCCAAACGGAAATGTAAGTAAAAATCAGCAATCCCGTGCTTGTGGTACGTGTAATAAGAATGCTATTTACAAAATAAAAATAAATACATACATATGTATATCAAAGCTTAATTTTGTTTATTTAGCTGTTTTTTAGCGTTGAATAACATGCATATAATGTACATACATATGTAAAACAAAACAAGGGTTTTGGAAAGAATAGACTTAGAGCTTTCGAATGGTATAGATATACTCACTTATATCAATTGAAAGAACATAGAAGATCTGTATGTATTTGCCAAGAAAACCCAATTTATTTTTCACTTATTGATTCAAAAAAGACGAATAAAACGCATATTTGTTTTCCAAAAATTTATTGAAAGTTGCCTGAGGTATTCAACGATATCAAAATCTTTGGAGATATTTGACCTTTTTTGTGAAAGGGTCTAATGCATGTACGACTATTATGTCGGTCGGTCCCTATTAGGGATGTTAATCCCGGGATTCCGGTCTTTTTTATGTGTCGAAAATCGTGGGACTATTTGCCAAGAATCTCTGAATTTTCGGGATTTGTAATTTGCAATGGTGGCAATAATAGAAACGCCTTATGTTGACCAGCTTTTGTTATATTTCCTTTGTTTGCTTAATATTTGATATTTTTTACAAATGTCTACCTAATTATATATACACATAACACCACATTCCACCAGTTTTTCTCTCTGATGTCATGATTTTTCAAAAGGACTTTGAAAATTGAATAATATGAGTAATTCAGAAGATGGTTTAAAAAATTTAGGGCACTTAGGAAAACAGTATGGGTACCAAATTAAAGAGAAAATTCTGTAGCTAAAGAACAGATTCAATTTTTTGGTGCGTAAAGTATTGAAAATGTTCTTAAAAATTTTATTCTTGAATATCCTTGAAATTTTGCAATATTTATTGTGAAAAAATTATATGTTAAGTTAGGACTAAACTCGACAACGTCCTCGAATACAGCCCTTCTGACTTTCTTAGCTTAAAATATAAAATTGATTAAAAGGGCATTTTCATAACTCTTCGTCCTTGTGAACCCAAAAAAATTTAATTTTTTTAAACACTACAGCATTTTCTCTTTCATTTGGTACCCATTTTTATTCTACATTGCCCTGCATTTTTTAAATAAATTTTAGAATTTATCACGTCTTTGAAATTATAAAGTTCTAATAAAAAAATTCTAAAATTAAAAACGCAGTTTTACTATATTTGGCACATAGTGTTGTGAGTATTTTGATTGCTTGGTGTGCTTTGAAAAAATTTTTTTTTTCAAATTGTTTCAGCCTTTTTAATCAGAATCTCGATATATATATATTAATTTTTGAGTTATCAAAATTTATCGAGCCCTCGAAACGCAAAGCTATCGAGCTATCGAATTTTCTTGAGTTATCGGATTTTAGAGTGTTTTAAATTCATTTAATTACAAAGGTTTACAAAAAAAAAAAGTATTTGGATATTAAACCAAACCTATATATCCCTATGTTATTCGACACGCTGAATACGAATCCGAAGTCCGTTAGTCTCCACCACGTCAGGTTCGTGGTCAGTTGAAGGTCAAGTAGGGAAAAATTCATATATATAAGGGTTTAGATTCGCTGAACCCAAATCCGAGGTCCGTTAACCTCCATAATGTCAGCTTCGAGGTCATTTGAAGGTCAAAAGGACAAAAAATTTATTCAATAAAAAAAGAATACACATTTTGTATATGTTGTCGCTGAAACCGAGTATGGGGTCCCTTGATTCCTCGGATTCGCATTCAGCATGTCGAATAACATAGGGATGTATAGGTTTGGTTTAATATGCACACACTTTTTTTTTGTAAACCTGTGTTATGGATATGTATCAAATGTTCGAATTTCGTGTAAATTCCAAGTCCTGAAAAAGTTCTCCAAAGGCCTTCAATATTATAAAAAATTTAGTCGTGTTTTAGTTTCAATTTCCTACGATTTTCCGGTTTTGTACCTCATAAGTTAAACGACGTGCTAAGTTAGAAAACCCCTCAAAGGGTCTTAAAAAACAAGAAAAACGGTCGAATTTTGACAGTAACTGGCACTCCTAGTCATTTATTATATAGTAGGACAACTTCTCAAATTTTTCCCGTTAAGTTGTTAGAAAATAATGAATATCTAAATCCCGGGATTATATGAACGATGTCCCGAAATTCTCGGGATCCCAAAAATCTAAAAAATTAACATATCTAGTCCCTATACAAATGAAAAAAAAATCGGTAAATAATTTTAATTTCCCTACATATCGCACATACGGGGTGCGGGCAAATAAAGAGAGATGCAACAAGTTTTGACTAGTTTTCTTTTGTTTATTTAATGTTTATTATTTGTTTATCAAAATCTACTGTCTAACAAAAATCGATGTAATACCA